GCACCTTTCTCCCTCGGATCTGCTAGTGGATTCAAACGGTCCATCTTCGGTTAGCAAGCAAGTGCTCAATCCCTGAGTCACTGGTGGTGTCCCTTCTGACATCAAATCCATCACAGCCATCGAATAGTTTCCATGGCATAGTAACCCTACAACAGGGGTCCTCAAACTACGGCCCGCTGAGGACATTTATCTGGCCCGCCAGATGTTTTTGCCCCGTTTTGTTTTTTTACTTCAAAATAAGATATGTGCAGTGTGCATAGGAATTTGTTCATAGTTTTTTTTTAACTATTGTCCGGCCCTCCAACGGGTCTGAGGGACAGTGAACTAGCCCCCTGTTTAAAAAGTTTGAGGACCCCTGCCCTACAAGACAGAGCCAAACTGCCCCATAGGGTTTCCAAGGCTGTCAGTCTTTACAGAAGCTGCCACATCTTTCTCCCAAGGGGCGAGTGAGTGATGGGTTCAAACCTCGGGCCGGTCTGGTTAGCAGCATACTGTAACTACTGCACCACCAGGCCACCTAGAAATTAAAGCTAGTTTGGACCTGGAGCCAAAAAACCCACCAGAGCTTTGGATTCTACCATAGTACCTTCCTCCTCTGAGCAGGTGTGGTGTCACATATTCAGAGTGGAAAGAAGAACTCTAGCCCATGTACTTCCGGGGCTGTCTTTATTTACTTACGTACTTATTTGTATCTATGTAATCTGCAGCAAAACTCTACACAGAGCCCTAAAACACACACCACAGGGATTCTCTGGATGACAAAATGCACCCCCAATGTCATGCCTTTCTTCACTTCCTTCTCTGGTGGGTTCACGGGACGGAATCCTACATGATTAAGGGCCATTCCTCTGTTATCAAACACTGTGCCTTCACCACTGTCAGGGACTACACAAAAAATAGAGGATTTATTTAATCCACAAGATGACCCTGAATAAAGTATGTCTGGTGCCACCAAGAATCCGGATCTCCCAGTTAGACACCTCAGTGTTTTACTGTATCGTTTTACATAGTATACTATGAATACAATGGTGACTATGTTGCAGGGGAAGACATTTTTTTAAGGTCTTTATAAAAAATATCCTGGAACATTTTTAGTCGCCTTTAAAAACTGGTGAAATTAGTTCTCGTTTTCTTGGCTATATACAAAGGAGGCAGATCTAGATCAACCCACTGCGAATATTTTTGGAATGTTCTCTTTTTAAAGCCCATTCTCCCGTTTGGATGGAGCAGCTTCATTGTCAAGAACCCAAGGTTCCGGATGTGACAGAGCCTTTGCCAAGAGCCTGGACGCAGCAAAACCACCCCGGACAGGCGTCGACGGCGACAAGCAGGCACAGAAGACCCGCACCATTTCCTACCGAGTGACCGGCGGAGGAAATTCACCCAACCAAGTCTCCACGCCACCCAACGAGGGCCCGCCGCTCCCTCCGGCGAATGGAAAACACAACGCAAGATAAAGCAGCTCCCAATACCGGCGCTGCTCAGCACCCAACCCCGCAGAGCGGCTTACCAGCGTGTCTGCCACCCGACCGCACCCCCACAGCGAAGCCCAAGAGTTGCGCTTCGGTTATCCGCTCTGAGCAACAGGGCTTCTTTCAAGCCTATTGCTGGCTCCCGGGCTGCCCCAGCGGCTTACAAACCCCACAAGAAGTACCGGCTTCCAGACTCCTTACCTAACACCCCAGACCTAGCGCTGCAGAGACAATCCGGGGGGTGGAAATCCGGCCCCTGACTCCGCTCCAGCCCCCTCCCCCTCTCCCGATGCACTGGGGGAGGGGGTTCTTGGAGGGGAAGACGGGGGGCTGATCCCGGAAAGGGGGTCAGACCCCTTCCCTCGCCCCTCCTAGCAAAGGCTCGCTCAGCCTCCGCTCCAGGCCTCGCCCCCGGCCCCGCCGGCCTCGCCTGCCAGCGCCGGCCGCTCACACCCGCGCCCCCAGCCCGTTACCTCGCGGCGCCGTTACCTCCGCTGCTGGGGCGGGAGCCCGGCTCCGGGCGGCCCCGCATCCTTCCGCCCCGGCCCGCGAGCCGTGCCCCCCATCCGAGTTCCAGACCCTCACGGGGGAGGGGCGGCGGTTGGAGGGTCCGGCGAGGCGCGTCCACCTGCGCTGGAAGGCCTGCCTGCCCGGCCGCGCAGCGTCCCCGGGGACTCTCGGCCAGACGCTGCAGCCCCGCGCGCCCTCGCTCGCGACTGGCCCGGCGGCGGCCGGAGGGAGGGAGGGAGAGCGG